TAAATTTCATACTTGGTGTCAAGATGATCTCGTACCTATGAGACTGAATGCAAGCAATTGTTCGACAAGATAAATATATTCATATTAAAATCGCATCGTATATTAATCAAATATATTCATATTTTATCAAAAATTTATTATTCAAGTCGATTTATATTTTGACAAATAATCAATAAGTTTTGATCATACAAGAAAAAAAAACAAAACAGTTATTTTTCAAAGTACATAGCTTTTGATCAATTGTGAAGTAAGTGAACGTAATGTAGTATAATGTTACGTAATCTACATGAAGTGTAAGCTACTAAGACTTGAGTCTCACCAATATTCGGCACTATTAGGCTTAAACTCATCTGAATTATGGCTTAAAGACTTTATCACATTCGAATCTAGTATTTTTTGACTATGCGAACTTCATTTTAGTGCAGAAATTGAAACTTTTTTGCATGTTCATATATAGATTGTGAAGAACAAAATTGAAGAATTGAGACAACAGCAAAGTTCGACATTTATGCCTTCAAGGCACTTAGTGATACAATTTATTTTATTCATAGAAAGAATTATGTAAATTAGGTCACTTGTAGATTCATGTGCTCAAATGGCAAAACAATTTCTATCCGAGAATTTATCTTGTCTTTCAAGTTATCATTACTCACTACATTTTATTGAGTGATAACACAATTCTAATAATCAAAAACTTCAGAAAAAATATTAATTAAACATAATCTGAAAAAGTTTGTCAGTGCTGTCTCTTCGAGGCTAAACTGTCGAACTGACATATTTTCTTCAGCTTTTTTATACTAATACATGATACATTAAATGAAAAATCTCTAAAAAACAATAGCTTCTTTCCACGAGTAATCAACCGTCAGACAAACATGTCGAAACAGAATTTATTTTTCTTTTACTTTTTACTTGAGCTTTACTTGTCATTTCTCATATTGCTATTCTCTCGTCAATTCATCTTTTTTCTTAAATTACTATGATTAATATTATTGTAAATATTGATTTAACTGATAAATAAGACTATTGTACATATATAACAGGTATCAATGTGCTATTATGTATGTCAATAACATCAGAAACACTGATATTGATTATTTCGGAAAATTAAAACTTGACTAGTTCATACCTTTAATGTTAGACCTATAACGACTATGGCAAATTAAAACATCACTAGTCATCATTTTTTAAATATCTATCATATAATCAACTATCTACACAAATATAAGACACTTCGCTATTTAGAACAGTCAAAAACATGTTTTAGTTATTTAAATTTCAAGAATGGCTTTGGTATATTCGGGAGTTATCTAACTCTTATTGTTAATGCCATTCACCGCTTTTTTCTGTTACTAAGGAGCTATAGAAAAGGAGTCTGGTACTTCTTGTCTTTGACTGCTATTGAAACGTACTCACTGATCATTGCCCGGGTTGCTAAAGTCTATTGTAAGCGCCTCTGTCTGAGCTGCTATGGTTGTCAACAGCATTAAAATCAGTCACCTAGAACCTCTTCATTACGCTTTGACTCGAGTTCTTATTGGAAGAGATAAGGTAAGTCAGAAAACTTTGCTTTATAGCTTATGCTTAGTATTTTCCTTCGTCAAACATATGGATTCTACCAACAGTTTATTTGTATAGTTATTTGAATTTCAAGCCCTTTATATTTTATAGGTACCATCGACGTCAATAATCTATGGAGATGGTAGAAGATTATGATGACATTCTTCATATTCTAAAAGTGCTTTCATGTTAATGAATTTTTGATTCAATAACAAATACTTTCTTTTGAGCACAGGTGTCAGTTTTCAACAACAAGCTGGTGATTCCTTTCGGTTCATGTTGGAAAATAAACTTTCAAGTATCGACTTCAAACTTTGCCCGTACAAAGTTCTCAATGAGATAAAATCATTAGGCAAGTTCTAACTTTTCTAGTATCTCTTGTCCTGAGATATTGAATATTCGAAATTCTCTCCTATATAACAGTAAATTTTGTTCATATATCGACATCTCTAGAAATACTAAAACTTACTCAATGAACTAATCTGATTGAGAACTTTGCTCATGCAAAGTTTGAAGTCGAAATATGAAAGTTGATTTTCGATGTGACTTGAGTGGGGCCACAGCTTTTTGTTGAGAAAGTATAGTAAAATTTTGATGTCTTGAGAGAGAAGACTCAGGAAACTGAATAATCCTAGATTGTTCTCTTACTCTCTAGCACTGATCAAATGAACATTGTCTCGGTGGAAAAACACTTTGACATCTGGAACAATTCTCTCGTCAGTTCTATGTCAAGGTAATATGTAAAAAGTTTATTTATGATATCAAATAAATATCTAAACATATTTCTCCATCTTTGACAATATGAAAGTAAATTATTTCCGTGATATCTCTTCATATATTTGATCATGTTATTTTATTTATTTGATCTATGTTAAATAGCAATTTACATTTAGCAATAAAAAAATCTAATAATAGAAGAATTGTGTTTGCTTTTTTTTTTACACTTGATTCAATGTGTTTATATTTACAAACTATTAGAAATATTTTTTATTTTCAATTATTTGCTTTTCTTCTATGCTTAGTTGATTAGTCTGAAAAAAATATTTTCGCTTTGTAAATTATGTCAAATGCACCTGCAAAGAAATATATCGCATAGGCATTGTCATAAGACTCCACTTGTTTTGTAAACAGAAAAAAAAAGTAAAATTTCATCTGGAGATATATATATGAGCGTGAGCAGTCAATCTGATATCCCAAGATACAGAATAGGAATTAATATTATTTCAGGAAGGAGTATATAATGGATTTTATACCAAATGAAAGCTCGTCAAAAATGGGATTTATTGGTACTAAATAATAAGGGTTTTGTAAACTTTGTAATGTCGAACTTAATAAATTTTGAAAAATTTAATACATAAAAAATGTTAAAAATATTCACATTTTCTATATGGAAGAAAGACATTAGAGTTTTCCATGAAATTAGCTTATTTTCATTATTTCCACTACCTCATCTGTTTTCAAATACACTTATTCGATTCAATTATCCATGCTACATCTATTGAATATATTTTGAAACATGTAAGATAGTGGAAATAATGGAAAAAAGTTATGTTTAGGAGTAAATCTAGTGCCTTTCTTCCATATAGAAAATGTGAATTTTTTTAACATTTTTTATATATTAAATTTTTCAAAATTTATTAAGTTCGACATTACAAAGTTTACAAAACCCTTACTATTTAGTATCAATAAATTCCATTTTTGATGAGCCTTCATTTGGTATAAAATTCATTATATATTCCTTCCAGAGATAATATTAATTCCTATTCTGTATCTTGAGGTATCAGGTCGACTGCTCACACCCATATATATTAACCTTTCTTAAGTAAAAACAAAATTTTTGTTTTTTCGAATATACGTTCTTATATTTACTGTTTTTTTAGATTAAAAAAAGTCATCTACAACACAATCTTCATCGACTGAGGTATGTGATGAAGAAAATTTGTACGATTATATTAGCACTTTATTGGGTTTTCTATTTAATTATTAATTCCGTCATATTTGTTATTGCTATGTATGCTCTTCGGAGATGTTGTGATAATGTCAAACTTCCTGATGGAAAAAGTAAAAAGAAAGAAGAACATAATGTATCACGCACGAACAATCGAATGAGTCTTGTTTCATGAGACAAGCATTGAATCAATCAAACAAGATTGAATAATTGAATAATTTATTTTTCTTTATTGTTTAATTGAATGTTTTTGATTGTTATTAAAAGGAAAGATCTAGTCACCAAACAGTAAAAAGCTATGTTGTATATTGAATTACAAAATTCAAAGAATTAATTGTGTAGGTGAACATGAAATGTTAGGAAGAATAGAAAAAATAGTCAAAAGAAATAGAATTTGAATGAATGACAACAAAGAAAAAAAACAACGATTCTTTTGATGCTTCTATTATTGAATGAATTACATTTCTTGATCATAAACTGATTAGAATTTTGATGTATCTAAGAAAAGCATATCATTATTATTATCTCAAAAAAAAAAATATTAAAAAAAACCCTCTATTTTGCTTTTTGTAATCGATCGCTTGTAAGTATTACAGAAATTTTGACGATATTAAGAAATTTCTAACTGGGTATATTCAAATGCGACTGTTGTTTTCTAAAGATATTTGTTTTTAATTTAATAGATATAGTAGATCATATGAATTCCATTGTAAAATGATAAATAACTCCAAATGATGACAAGCATATGTCAAATAAATCCTATGAAGTATGTAATCCTTTTTTTTTTCGTATTACTTTATCATTCAATTAACGAAAAAATAAATATTAACTAATAATATTTAAGATTAAAAAAGAAAGAAAACAATAGTACTTATTCATATGGTTAAAATAAGTACAAAGATAATTACAATTTTCAATGAGCTTCATGCCGCATAATCATTCGAATCAGTACTAAAGATTAAAAAGATAATTAGCATGCTCATAATTCAACTAATTATCAGTATTCTTTCATTAATAAGAAATCTATACGACAGAAAAATTGTCGTTATCTCTTTCTTTGCTTTCTTCATAAACTAATGTATAGGGGTATTACAAATAGTGCTAGATTAAGAGAAAGTGTTATTATGCGTTCTTGTCAAAAACAAGAAATCCTATCGGAGAAAAATGCAATACTCATCTTTTTCTTTTTTTTCTCTTTCAATTCATTATTTCTTCCTTATTTCGAGTGAGAGATACTTTTGTTTTCTCATCATTTGTCTACAACATACAATTGCGATTCAATTTTCCACAAATTATGAGTGCGTAGTTTTATATATAGTATTTGTTAACAATTTGTTCTAGAAAATTCACGTAAATCTCTATTTTTCTCTCACATTGAACAATAAATCTTCTATTATTTTCTGTTTGTTACTTCTTTTGATTAAGGAAAAAACAAAAATTTTCAAGATCTCTTTACTTTTTTTTTTTTTCATTTGTAGTTTTTATTTATAAAATGTGTATTAAACAACATAATGATGAACTAACAAATAATACTGTTTTAAGTTTCATTAATTGTCTATCAGGAACAAACGAAAGTTCATTTTTAGAATATAATTATCTTAATGATAATATGGAATATAATAATTATACAAGTTCTTCTGGTAGTGATTCACAACAATTTGCAATAAGTTTTGAACAATTCATGTTAAATATGGCTGATAATGAAAAACTAAATGAATTTCTAGCAAATTTAAATATATTTAATTCATCATTTACTCCAGTGCCAGGATCAATAGTTCCATTTGATACATCTTTTTCATTATCAACAAGTAATACAAATTCTTATCGTCTTCTTTCATTTTTATCACTTTGGTTTGTTTTAATTGTTAATCCTATTGTGGTAAATAATCGATAAAATAAATTTTCATAACAAAAAAAAAAACAAATTAAAAATAATCTTAATTTTTATTTTTCTTAGATTTTATTTGGTGTTACGGGTAATCTTCTTGCAACATATATATTAATACGTTGTAATATTGCTAAATTGCCTGTTTCATTTTATACAATTACGCTCAATATATCGGATACATTAAATTTATTAATACCAGTATTTATTTTTTGGCTTGACAATTGTATTAATCGAACATCCGAACTAGGTTATTTTCGTGACAGATCAAATTTTCTTTGGTTAGTTATTAATTTAACTATATATATAATTAGTTAATCTTATTTCCTTTTATTTTAGTAAAGCATTAATGTGTCCTGACCTATTATTTGCAACATTAAGTGCATGGTATATGTGTGCAATATCATTTAATCGTTGGTATTCTGTATGTCGTCCATCATCATATTTTTTTCGTACAACAACAACAACAACAACAACAACAACAACAATAAACAATAATAGAAATAGTATTAATCATGAACAAAAAATCCGTACATCTAGTTCAGCAACGTCACAATCCAATTCATTATTTATACCATTTTGTTTTCCTATTAATTGTTGTTTATGTTTAACACGTAACACGAAATTTCGACAACATTTACAAGCATTTCGTAATATTGCTGTTATGACTTTAATGAGTATATTATGTTGTCTTTATCCAATATTTATGCAAGAAATTCGATCTTTCGTATCAATAAATGCATCTATGTCTAATTTAAGTCGTAAAAAATCTAATTCATATCCTACTATACGGAAACGTTGTTATTATAGTCAAAAACATGAATATGCTTATGATATTATTGGTATTATATTATCATGTTTTTTACATATATTACCATTAACATTTGTTGCTGCAATGAATATAATGATTATATTACGATTAAAACAACGACAATATCGTATGACAAGTTCAACAAATTTATTACAATCTCAAACATCATCTAAAAAAATAAAATCATTAAATTATTTACCAAAGAAAAATTCTAATTCATATAACAATTCATTATCAAAAAAAAGAAATAATCATGGAAAAAGAAATCAAACTAATTTACAATCAACATTAATAATAGATCGAAAAGATCAAGCAACATCAACTGATTTATCAATTCAAACATTACATCTATCAAATCCATTATCAACTAAATCAAATAATACAAGAACAGCAAGAAGACATCATTCAAGAGATCGAACAATTACAATTATGCTTGTTAGTGTAGCATTATCATATTTAATATTAACTCTTCCTTATCGTTTATTTTGGTCATATCATGTTTATATAAAACGTGTACATCCAAAAAAATTAGATTCATCTATATATTTATCAAAAATGCTTTGTATTGATCATGTACTTCGTACAATACGTAATATACATTATGGTACAAATTTTGTTTTTTTTATTTTTCTTTCTAAAACATTTCGTCGTAAATTTCGACAAATATTTATTGAAAGATTTTTTCAATTAACAAATCATTTATTTAATCGAAATTCTACAACAATAAATAAAAATTATACAATTTATTCGAAAAATAATCGTCAACGACAAATAAATTTTAAATTAGAAAATAAACGAAATATAAAAACAAATAATATTGAACATGTTATTGGAATAGAATCATTTTCAAGAAGTATATTTGATGAAACACCTAGTTTAATTGGTGATATACGTATACAAGAAGATGAAATTATTCCAATTATAGGACTTGAACATAATAATCTGTCGTGATATGATTATGAATGGTAGAGAGAGTGATATGATTTAATTAAATTTTCAGTAATCAATATTCCGGTTCCGGCTTAATTGATTCCTCAAAGGATTTTGTTTTGTTTTGTTTTGTTTTTGACATGCAATATATTCTTATTTATGTGAAAAAGTTTAAAAAAAAAAAAAAAAAAAAGAAATCGTCCTTAAATGTATTGTATTGTGTTTTTTTTTTTTGAATAGATAACAGTGAATCTATAAAATAAGATATCAAAAATATTGAATGAAATAATTTAAAATTTTTAAATATATATTTTTTCAATAAAGAAAATGAATATATAAAAGAAAAATTGACAAACGAATTGATTAGATATATTCGACACGATTTATCAATAATTAAACATGTATTTAATAAAAATCATTTTAAAAAAATCTTTTGAGATTTCAGAAAAAGAAGTATATGATATATATGATCAATAAAATGAAGTTAAAATTATGTAGTTCACTTTATAAAATACTATGTCTTATTATTAAAAAAAAACTAGCTGAACAACAAGGTATTTCATGACTTTGGGACCTATTATTAACGCTTAAGCTTCTTATCACTAATTGTTACAGATAGTTCATAGTGACACAAATAGATCTCATTATGTTGTCATCTTATAAACAAGTAGATTCTAAGAAGAGATAAGAATAAAATAGTAGATAGGTTTTTGAAATACATCAAACCAATCATTCAACCAGAAGATAAATTCTTTAATGATGTTGTTTTTTTTTTCATTTTATCATGTACACTTAAATTATTATGGAAGTTAGAATTTGAAAAACAAGTACATAACATTGAATTTAGTAATTTTTCAATTATCAGTGCATAATTTAAAGAAGAAGTCAGCATTAATCTAATTGAAGTTGATATATTTATAAAAGTTTAAAACATTATCGATAATTCAAAAATTGAACTCATGTCTGTAACAGAAAGAATTTTTACATATATAACATAGAAAGAAAAATTTCATGGAAATAAATCTAACTAATAACATCTTACATAACGTATTAACTGTGTTTATGTAATTAACTGTATTAGTAAGAAACTGCTCAAGTCATGAATAATAATCATCTGGATATTATCTATCAAAAGCAGAGCATATTTCGGAAGAAATTTTCATTAATGGTTGTCAATTAGTAATTTGATATGTTTTAAAATATAGCAACTTAGAATAATTAGTTACTAAATTTAGATGAAATATTTAATTATTTTTGAAGAGTACAAAATTCCAGTGTCTTGACATTAAAAAAGAATGTTCTTTTTCCTTTTTAATCCGTGTACTGTACTAATACTTCTTCTCTAGTTAAATTAACTTAATTCCAATTAATATTAAAAAAAACGCAGAAACATAAATTACTTTTGTAGAACTGTGTTATTATACTTGACATATAGAATATAAACAAAAGGTTAAAGAGTAAAAAGACAAAATCAAAATATTCGTTAATGAGAAGAAAATTTTGTTGATTTTTCTGGAAAATTCATTTTCTAATATGAAAATTTTTATTCTAATTAAGGATTATTCAAATAATCTCTTTTAACTATCATTATATTACCCATAAATTGAAAAGATAAAATTATATTTTATTTACAGTTCATTAAGCAAATAATCTAGACATATAGTCACATTAGATAAAAGTTTCATGAATCGATTTAAAGTCTTTTCCATTCTATAATTAACAAAAAGCAATGCGCAAAAAAAACGGCATTTGTAGGACAAAATGTCATTCTAATTACGTATTCCAAAATAAGCACGATGACATTAACGCTTATTTTAATTTAGTTTTCAAAGAAAGAAAAGCTTTCAAGACTTATAATTTTAGCAATTAAATATTAAAATCAAAGATCAACATTCATATTTGATCATATATATCAATTCACAATACATAATTATATTTCAGTAATCAATCTTTGACTACAAAGCAACAGTAAAAAAAAGAGAAAAACCTATGGCGTCAATTAGAAAATGTTCTTTTTACCATGATAATTAATATCTTTGTTTCTAAACTATGTTCATCATGTCCTCATAATGCTTAAAGCTTATATAGAATGATAAATCTATTCTAATTTTCATGTTCATATCTCAGTTTAAATATTATGTTGTAATGTTTTATAGAATATGAATTTTGATCTTAATCAATGATCTTTCTTCAATCAAAAGATGGATACATTTATTGTAGTAATGGAAAATAGAATTAAGATAGTATTTATTTCTGAAACATTTAGAATATGAGAATTAAATATTGAAATGACAGAATTAATTATCAGATTCTTATTGAATTAATAATTTCTCAACTAAGAAACAAAACTGTTAGTTTTCATGTAAAAAATTCAAAATATCACTGGATAATCTTTAAAATTAACTTACATAAAATTTTATGAGATTCTCAATGTGATATTGTTAAGAAAATCTTTTAAGAGTCTTATAAACAACAGCTAGTATCTATTGTTATGAAACCTTGTATTATCATACTAGGCACACTAGATCTCCTCAGTTTTATTCAAATTTCATCAACTTCTCGTTTTCATAGAATAGATATCGGTGTCACATTGAACTTATGGTATAGCCCAGAGGTTCAAAGAAGTCTTGAAGCTTGTCATAAACTATGCAGCTGCTGAAAATATACAGGGCATCTGCCTATCATGGTTTTTTTTGTAAATTTTCAAAAGAAAATTTTGCTTTTTTTGGGGAGTTAATTCACTAAGTTAATGTTTGTTTTTTCTTATTGTTTATTATTATTTTCTTCTATGAATCATCAATTTCTGATTCATAAATATATAATTATAATTTAGTAGAATTAGATATGTTCTCTTCAGCTATGTAGTTCATTTAATATATTCTTATTCAAAAGTAGAACTTTTCCACAAGTAATGTTTTCTTCTTTTTTTTTTTTGTCTTTTCTCAGAATAGAACTTGGCAACAGTATTTCGAACAGGAATATTTTCAGATGTTTTCGATCAATTACAGTTAAATCCGGTTGTTTCTGGAAGCGACCAAGATTATCAACTTGGGATGACTTTCTTGTTTTCTTATGTAGACAGTTTTCACTTCCATTCTCTTGATTTTATTCGTCATTCCTAATTTAAAACTTGTGTCTATTTTCATTACTCGCAAAGTTATATGTTATGAGCATCTATTTGTATTTTTCTAATCTTTAAAAATAAACGTATATACGATTCACAATAAAACACATTGTTAACAAAACCAGCAGATAAAGAAGCTGAAGTAGAAGAAAATCATGTGTGAATTTTGTAAGATCATATTAGAACTGACTTAAGAATCTGATATAGTATTATATTATCAGAAATACTGGCTTTGAGGTTACTCATGATTATATCTATTAATATTCTTCTTCAACGAATGAACGAGCAAGTAATGTTAGACTTAGATCATATCATTATGAAAGAATTATTCGATTTGTGACACATAATATTTTGATCATTTTTCGATTTAGAAGGTTATATTTTCAAAAAAAAAGTGTATACAATCTGTTTTCTTTATTATTTTAAGTGAGATAAAAATATAATTTTTCTATTGATTGTTTTCTGTTTTATTGTTCTTCGATATTCTCTGATTCCAAACATTGTCGTTTAACTGAAACTAAATTTACAAAAAAAAAAATATTATTTTTAATTCATCATATGAACATTTTTTTATTACCTTGATTTTCATGATCAGTATATGAACGTTTTTGAAATGATTTCATTACTTTTGGTATATCATATTGTTCAAACCATTTATTTAATTGTCCAAATGCCATAAAACGTAAACCAATCTAAATGAACAACAAAATATTTTTCTTTTGAAATTAAATTACTGCCTTTTTTTTTTACTTGAGCTTCATGAGTTATATCATTTCGTTCTTGGTCATTCAACTTATCAAAAATATTGTTTATTGAATCAGTTTCCCAAGGTATCCGTAAACCTGGACCATCTACAAAAAAAAAACAAAAGTTAACGCAATTCCTGTGGGATTAAAATGTAAAATACGATATAGCTCATGTTTTACAAAGTAATGAAAGTAAAATAATAAAACTAAACAAACTTGATAAAAATAAACCACCGGCAAGATATTCAAGAACACGTCGAAATGCACAAACAGCTGATACAGATTTTGATAAAGTATGTTCAATAAGAATTTCAATAGCCTATGAAATATCAATATTAAAAAAAAATTAAGGTAATTAATTCTACTTCAGATGATAATGATTGCCAATTTAATGAAGTTTTTGTTTTATAACGTAAACATCGAATTAATGCTGATGCATGTTGTCGTGTACTAATATGACTCTAAATATTTGAAAAATAAATAAAGAATCTGTTAGTTTTATTTTTACTTGAAACCATTGAACTGAATGCATTGCATATAAAGCATTTAAACAATTTGTTTTTGTTAAAAGTTCTTCCGATGTCTGACTATGTTGTTGTTGTTGAATAGATGATGATGATGATGTAAATGAAATTAAAACAGACATTTGTCCTTCAATAGTATTTGTATATACTTGAATAGTTTCGTCAGCTTTTTGACATTGAATATTAATTTGATTTTTCCATGTTTCCTATTCGATTAATTAAATTATTTGTCTTTTTTTTACTTTTTTTAAAAATTAATCTACTTACATGAAAATTATCAGGTAATATAGAAAATATTTTTTCAAACAAATTCATTGTTGGCCATTCTTCACAAATAACCACAATATAAAATAAACGATCACTTTTTATTAATAATTTTTTTACAAGTGCACCAATACGAGATACACCTAATAATGGAGATTTAGTACTAAAATTAAAATACATAAGAAATTATTAAATTTGAAATACTTATAACATACATTGATGTTTTTGAGGTATTATCGATTGTTGATGGTTGTGAAGGACAAAGTTGATCAGAACAAGATTTAAGAGCTGTTTCAACAGCACTGACAAATTGTTCGATTGTATTGAGCTGAAGATAGAATTTCGATTAAAAGATATTATCGG